GAACTAAAGCAACAGGTTCTTTAAGGGTGAAGCCTCAACATGTGGGCAGCATTAATGCAGAAAAAAATGCTTGTTTAATGTTGTATCTAATGTTAATCAAGGTCTCTTGTCCTACACAATTGCATTTTTTCTCTATCACCATAAATACAAACAGAGATACATATGAATGGTGGCCTGAAGACATCATAAGTATATAGCAAAAGATTTGGATTACAGCCGTAGGTGACTCATTAATGTAACCAAATAAGCCTGTCAAATAACATCTGCTCCTGCAGGTAACAGCAGAAATAATTTCATCAATTCTACTCAAAGTCTTGTACTTTGTGGTGCCATACTCGTTCGTCAGAAAAGTTCTTCATTCATCAATGATTCCCCAGAACTGAAGTCTGAACCTTTTGTATGCATGGTTGATTACACTAACTAATGCCAGAATTGATGATTCAGCAAATACTATAAATATCAAGCAAACCATAAAGGTGAAATACCTCTGATAACCCAAGCCATCCAATACAAGAGATACAAATTCCCAGAACTTCATTGGCTCAAGATTATTTACAAAAAAAGCCTGCAAAAAGATTCCATTTACATATCCTTTCAAATTCTTGGAAATGGCATAGATTCCTATGACAGGTATGAGCATACAATTCTAGAAAGTACCTTTCCAGACACAGAAACCATATGAGAATCCAGAGATTCTTCAGCACAGATAAGAGCATGGGAAACATTATCCACATAGGTGAAGTCAGACTGTTTTGCACCATTTCCTATAATAAACTGAAATGAGAAAGCCAATTACTTATTCAAAGCAATATGTACATAGGATGCAAGAATAGTAATACAATATTCAGAGAAAAAACACAAGAAAAGAAAGGTATAGAGAAAATACTCATAATGCATTCTATAATAAGTAGTGGAGATAATATCATAACACTTGTGTGCCTTACAGATGTGAGGCAGGAAAACTATCAATATATAAGGATACTGAAACAATCTATCAACTGAAGTCACATAAGTCCATAAAATTTAAAAAGTGAATATGATTTCCAAAATTACAGCAACAAAAATAATAAAACCTGAAATATGTGACGCACGTAAAAATAGCTTTCAAACCTTCGCCCATCCAGAGTTTGCCACATTCACCAGAAATGGAATAAGTTTTTCATCTCCAGGTCCAAACACATTGCAAGGACGAAGTGCACATGTTAAAAGGCCATCAATATCATTTGCAGATAATATCAATGCCTCTGCTTGAGCCTTGAGGCTGGCCACAATGTCCTGGAACTGTATTAAAGCATGCCGGGGGGTGGGGGGGGGTGGTTTGAGCAGTTGGAAATTAAAGGTAGTGAGAAGTGAAAAAAGACGTAGCTATCAATTATATGATTAAGAAGCCAAAGTCAAAGACATACTTGGTCAGGGTATGGCAACGACTCGTCTCCATTAAGTATATCACGTGTAATGTCAATAACTACATCGGCAGAACTGTTGTATATTAGCCGTTTTACCTTGCATTCTCGACAAGCATTCACAACGTTTTTTGCACCTAAATATTGTGACAATACAGGCATTAAAACAGAATGCATAATAGAATCTCAGTTTGATAGATACCTCAAGGAATGAAGAGATATTACCTTGAACAATAATATTATAGCAAAAACAGAAATCACAAGGGAGTGAACCTGAAGAATCAGTAAAGAATACAACAGGCACACCTTCAATAGCTGCACAGAAGATAACTATGTTAGTAGACAGATTTCTTATTGTAATTTAAACTAATTATTATGTGAGAATGTGTCAAAGCTAATAGAGCAGAACAAGAACCGGACCAGTCTCACAAGATCTGAAAACCCATAATAATTTCTACAGAAATGCTGTGTCACAAAGAGATG